ATAAGTCACTTTTTCCAGTGCCGTTGTAACTTCAAAGGTCACTAAACGAAGTGTTGTAAGCCGAGGACTACCTGAACTCATTTATTGTTCCGGTTGAGAAGAATGCACTGTATGGATTGAGTCATAAAACACACAATATGAACATAGGTTGTGTAGTTTATTATCACAGAATAAAGTATTTTTGTAACTTCTGCCAGAAAGAGTACCCACTTTGTTTCAAATGCTTATTCTGCGCATAGAGAAGTCCAGCAATAAGATCTAACTATATATCCCCCGCTACCTGTCCATTTTACCCCATCACTTCTCACTCTGGTAACAAAAGTGGAAGAGTTTCTGGCGTGTGTCCCAAAGTCCCAGGATCTGTGAGTGACCACTGCCAATCGGTTCTCCATTCCTTTTTTAAATTAACCGGGATGGCAACCTTTTCCTCGACAATCATCTGTCCCTTGCATATAAATATTTAATTTACAAATATTTTAATATTTTATAAATCATGTATTGTAATTTATATACTATTATGCTGATATCAATATTTAATTTCGTTTAAACACAAATACAGATAAAAATGAATAAAACTAAGAAAAGATTAAATACCGTAAAAAGCGCATCGATTGATTGATCGTTCGTTCATTCAGGCTCAACATGTTTATTTGGCTACAACAGGTATTTGCTTTGCCATATACTATGTTTAGATACCACACTTATGTAGAAATGGGACTTGGAACACAAGTGACTTCTGTCTTTCTCCTCAGTTTTAATATAACATCAAACATTACAGTAGAAACTGGGAGGGGGGGAATTGTAAACCACACTTGCTTCTTTTGAAGCTGCTTTGTGATAACATTGAACCAGTTCCAGGTAGTCTATTGATATCAGATTGCTGATTGGTAGGATGTGAATTTTCAGTCTGATACTTTCCGTAAGTTCTGAAGCCAGTGATAGGTTTTAACATTCAGCCTTTTCCAGTTTCGAGTTGAATGTACATGGGGAAGGAAGTGGGATTGTGACAAGTTTCATTGCTGACTTATACAGCTTTATCTGAAAATCAGATAAATTTCTAGGTATATTTGTACATGAGCCCTGATTAATGTTCATCTATTTGTCTACAAGCGAACCACTGAAGTAAATGAGCACCATTGACTCCCTGGTTCAACCCGGAGTTACATAGATTCCCTTCTATTGGATGTTTGTATTTTTCAATAAAAACCTCTAGACTTCCCCTATGTCAGTGGAAATCTCCGGAACAGTTTCAGTTCTGACCTTCAAATTAATGAAGCTAATATTACCACCAAAACTCACTTTTCCCCACCTTAGGTTATTTGACCAGTACAATCTGTACAGGCAGTCCTCAACTTATGATCATTTGTTTAGCGACTGTTCAAAGTTACAGCATGACTTACAATTGTTTTTCTGTAAACAAACAAGTGTAAACAACTGTTTACACTTACAACCGTTGCAACGTCACGTGATCAGAATTCAGGCACTTGGCATCTGGCATGTGTTTATGATGGTTGCCTTGTTCCTGGGGCACGTGATAACCTTTTGTGATCTTCTGACAAGCAAAGCCAATGGGGAAGCTAAGTTACTAACTTAATAATTGCATTGGGTCACTTAAGAACTGTGGCAAGAAAAGTCATATAATGGGACAAAGTTCACTTAACAACTGTCTTGCTTAGCAATGGAAATTTTGGGCTCAATTGTGGGTCGTAAGTCGAGGTCTATCTGTAATGTTATATTTTTCTTCACACTTTCAGTGGGATAACTCTGCATCAATCGGTAACATTTTGAAGCCAGCAGCACCTTTGCTGTTTTTTGAAAGCATGTACAAAATGGCTGATAGGTAGGATTCATAACAATGGCTGCCATCTTGGGCCTGATAGCCCAGAGTGATCTTTCCCCCCCCCCTATCTTATCCCTTTGCCTGAGGCGTCTTCCTCTTCCTGCCTACTTTTGACACTTTTCTAGGCACACCTCCAAACAAAGAACAGAAGTAAAATTACTCCCCATTTCTACTTTCTTACAGGGTTGATGTGATGCTTAGAAGCATGTTCATAAATAAAAATGACCCTGTCATCTGGTGGTTTGCTGTGCTTTCCATTAGATTGATCAGAACTCCCTGTCTATGTATTTAGAGCAGTGGTTCTCAACCTTTTTAATGCCGCGACTCCAACCGGTCGTAAGTCGAGGACTAAACCAGTCGTAAGTTGAGGACTACCCAGCCGGTCATAAGTCAAGGACTTTCCCTGCCCGGGAGCACCGCGCATGCGTGGTTCTGCCCCCTGCGCCGGCCGAGGCGTAGCTGGCAAGCGGCAGAGACGGAGCAGGCCGACCACCAGCTGGCCCAGCCCAAGGGAGGTAAGGCACCCGCCGGAAAAGGGGAAAAATGGCGTACAAAAAAATGGCATACAAAAAAATGGCGGACAGCCTTGCTTGGCGACCCCCATGAAATGGTCGATCGACCCCAAATGGGGTCCCGACCCACAGGTTGAGAACCACTGATTTAGAGCTACCAGGCTGCCTATCTGTGCCTTGGTTGCAGGTTTGCTTCTGGGTTCAATTCAAGGTCCTTTAAAACCCTTCATTGCTTGGGACCAGGCTTTCTGAGGGACTTCCTCACCCCTCATTAGACCTGGCAGAGAAGGCATGCTTTGGGTACCATCAGCTAGGGACCTACATTTGATGGGCCCCAGGAGACATAAGGTGGGCATCATCTGCCATGATGCCCATCTTATAAAACATCCGTCCCTTCCCAAAATTAAATTATCTCCATCCCTTTTGACTTTTCAGAAGACCCTCAAGAACTAGCCATGTCATTAGGCTCCCAGGGAACTAAAGATTTGCTTAGATGGCCCCATTGTTGAGGTAATCATTTTTAATCCTCTTTTCACCTAGGAGTTTCTCTATTTGTTTTTTCATATTGATTATTTCTTAATGTAATTTTTTTATGTTTTGTTAATATCTGGTCTTTATCCAACTGTGTGCTCTCCAGAGTCACTTTTGAAGAGATGGGAAGCTATACAAATTTGATAAATAAATAAATATGCAATTTCTTGTGATATGTTGACGCTATGAGGAAAGCACAGAAGTAGTAACCAGGAAATAGATTGTTACATTGTTTCTGTAATGTTGACCATAGAGGATTATAGTGTGTATAAATTGTGGTTGACTTATTTTGTGTTCAGGGAATATGAAAGATGCAGAGATTATGATGCAGAGATTATGTTGCCTAGCGAAAGCACAACCATCTAATCCCACTTGCAGTTAAATACCTTCCAAGAATATTTCTTTGGCATTTTTGTGAGTCTCTGCATCCATGCTTTTATATTTTAATATCTCCACTATTACCAAGAGGTATGCAGAACTACCGGGTGCCAAACACTGCCAAATTAAAGTGAATAATACTTATTTCTAAGCTCTATCATGAAATAAATCTTGTTCTAAATATCATTCAGTGAAATGACATTCCAAAATAGCTTCTTAAAAAACTGTCAAGGTGATTAATATTATGTGTGCAAAGCAAGTAGATAGCCGACTCCTTGTTGCACAGTGGAAAAGATATTTTCTAGTTGCGTTCATTGAGATATTGGTAACATCTTATCTAATAACTGAAAATTCTAGTATGACAGAATGGATTTATGAGGACTAATATCTTGGAAAATATCATGAGGTAAGGCACTGCATAACTGGATGTAAGAACCAGGGTAAAGAGGTAAAAGATTGCACCCAAACTTTGTAACTCAGAATCAATAAAGAAGTAGCTATGCTGGTTGGTTTTTGGGAGGAGGGGTGTTGGCAAAAAACCCTACAACAACAGAAATCCAAGAATTTTACGGCAGAGCTTTCTTTTCACATACACGTTCTTGAATCACAAGCCGCTTTGGAAACCGTTCCCTAGGGAGGAACGTTTTCCATATAGATATTTGCAAGTGGAGGAAAAATAAAAGTATTTCAGTCGTAGGAAAGAAACACAACTACATTATTTCCCTGGTGGTTGGTTGTTTAAAAGAGACTGAAAAGATATTCCATATGCTTTAATACAAAAGGCCTTGCATTTAATTTCTGGGATTTCCTTTTTAAAAGGAGGTTAAGCAGCCAGGTTGATTGCTGCTGGGCCGGGGAGAGTGTTCGAGTGTCCCGTGAGACATTGGGGAGCCTAGGCCAGGGGTAGGCAACCTTGGCTCTTTTATGACTCATGGACTTCAACTCCCAGAATTCCTGAGCCAGCATGGCTGGCTCAGGAATTCTGGGAGTTGAAGTCCACAAGTCATAAAAGAGCCAAGGTTGCCTACCCCTGACCTAGGGGATTGCTGCTATTTGGAGAAGGGTCTGTCCGTGGCCTGCATGAGTGAGATGAGCCTGCGGGGGTGGCTGCAGCCGGGGGCGGGGTAGAAGTGTGCAAGCAACTTTCAAGATGACTTGTGATCTTCCCTGCCGGCTTCTTTATTGCCTTTGCTTGGGGAAAGCTGGGAGGGAAAGTCACAAAGAGTGGTCATGTGACTGCAGGACAATATAGCCTTATTAAGTATGAACCAGTTGCCAAGCACTCAGATTGTGATCAGGTGACTGCAGGGGTGTATGTGTGTGTGATGGCCAGAACTATGATTATAAGTCTCCTTTTTCAGCACCCTTATATCTTCAAAAAAATCGCTGAACACATGGTCAGTAAGCAAGAACTATCTGTAATGAGTATTACTAGTTGCTGTGTTCCTGTAATGATATATTATAATGGTTCAAAACTATCCTTGTCTTGAAGATAGATTTTGGTGGCTCCATCCATTTGCCTGCATTATTATCCCTCTGACAAAACACTAACCCTAACCCTAACCCTATATAATATTGGGGTTGTTTAAAAAAAAACCCAGTGTATTCAAAAGTTTTGAGCTGTCTTTAAAATGGATGGCTTTTGCAAGAAGGATAATTTTACTTATTTATTTGTAACAGGTTTATGCTAAAAAACACACTGCCCCACACTGCAGAAGCCCTGGGTGCTAAAGGAATTG